AACACAACGTGGTGCGATCATCCCCCTTGCGCGGAGTGAGGGTTCTCGCCCCACACAACATGATCTACTCGACCACCATTCTGATTACCGCCAAAAAAAAAACAGAGGTAAAAAACAACACCGGTAACCTGGTTGCCGAGTTCACGAAGTGAATTGGCTTGTTTTACAACGTCGTTGCCAAGCGATGAAAACCCAACCCCGATGGCAAACACCGGGGGGGACGGCTTGTTTTGCAACGTTATTCCCAAGCGCCGACAACCCAACCCCGACGGCAAACACCAGGGGGGGGGTTATGAAGTGGGGGGGGTTAAAAGCAGGAGTTAGTTCCTTCTTCGTCTTTTTGATCGGCTTGAAAAGGCTTCTCCAGGGTGCTCCGCTGTCGGTAGACAAACGTCGAAGTCTTTCTTGCCTGGACTTGCAAGGTGTTGCGCGTGAGTGGTGGCTTGGTTTGAAGCGATTGTTCCCTACAGACGCCAATACCTAACCGTCAGGCTTGATTATTCATTGACTGTAGAGTCGGCGTTGTTGAGTCTGCAGAGTACTGTTGGTTTGATTTCGGTCCTCTTCGACGCAAGATATTTACGATAGCGCACTTACGCGCTGCGACAGCGATGCTATCCACTACTGCTGTGCGCCGCTTTTATGCATACATGGTTCAGCCAACCCTCAAAACGATCATCGCCCACTGCTGTTACCTTAGATGTCTCTTCCTCTGGGGGGAATCTTGGAAATTAGTTCCACAAGCACCTCTCTATTTATATTGGCGGGGATCATCAGTGTTACTTCGACTGCCGCTGCAATTGTGATGCACAGATACGAACAGACATTACCATATCCAGCTGCTGTGCGAGGCCGAGTGGTGCTCCAATATCTCTTTTACGTACAATACCACCCTGGCTGCCGTGCGCAACAATCCATGGAACCGTCCTGGAACGGTTCCAGGGGAGGATTGCAACTCACCCCTCCCTGTGATTATGCCTCCATCGATCTGCTCCGGGCCGCTGCCTCCTTCCCTGCCAGGCTCATAGATATTACGTCTGAGCCTTCGAGGGTAGGAGGAAGAGAGGCCAACAGAAGAAGGAAGAAAACGAAGAGAGAGAGAGAGAGAGAGAGAGAGAGAGAGAG